TGGTTTGGTTTGGTTTGGTTTGGTTTGGTTTGGTTTGGTTTGGTTTGAAATAGGGTCTCCTTAAATAGCCTAAGCTGGCCAGGAACTTAAGATCCTCCTGCCTCAGCTTCCTCGGGGGACACGAGTACAGTTGTACACCTCCTTGCCTAGCTAACACTTTCTCCAGGAACCTGGTGACCTCCCTTCTCTGTGATACTGGAGTCAGGTTGCCTGCTGTGGAAGGCTTGGGTGGGAGGGGCATTGCCTTGCAGAGTGAGCTGGTTTGTGGTAGATTTTCCTTTTAGCATCCTCTTCTGTGCCTGTATGTTGGTTTCTTGTATCCAAACCCTCTTTCTCCAACTGCCCTGTGCCCTTCTGAGTGTTCACCAACCTCTGCTTCTGTTCGGTCAGCGTTTTAACTTTAACAAGAGTAGAATATATCATGTCTGTCTTTCTGTGCTTAGCTTTCAGTTATTAGCTTCCAGTTTCCTCAGTGTTAAGGCAAAGGACAGGAGGTTTATTTGTTTGGTCAGATTTTTGTTTGGTTGTTTGATTGGGCTGGTTTGATTTTTGTTTTGGGGGCTTTGGAGGGGTGGTTGTTGTTTGTTTGTGTGTTTGTTTTGTTTGTTTTTTTAAAGCTTTATTTATTTTATATGTGAGTACACTGTTGCTGTCATCAGAAGAAGGCATCAGATCCCATCACAGATGGTTGTGAGCCACCATGTGGTTGCTGGGAATTGAACTCAGGACGTCTGGAAGAGCAGTCTTAACCTCTAAGCCGTTTTTCCAGCCCGTTTTGTTTGTTTTTTTTTAGGCAGGGTTTCACATAGCCCAAGATAGCCTCAAATTCCTCTGATCTCCCAGCCCCCACCTCCCAAGTGCTGTGATTACAGATGTGTACCAGGCCTGGTTTAGGAGTTTACCTTTTTTAATACTGAATAATGTGATGCTATGCATACACTAAAGGTTCCTTGTGTGTACACTAAAGCTCCACAGCGGAGGTAAAGTGCATAGAGGACGCTTCTGTTTTGTACTATTGCTCTCTCACGGCCTTCTTCACAGAAGCCCATCCTCACCACTCAAGGATTTTTAAAATCACATTAATCACCCCTGTAAAACTCCAGCCTTCCACTGCGTCCTGGGGTGTGGAAGCTGGATGCACTGCCTCGCTTTTTTTTTTTTTTTTAATTTTGAACAACCCCAAAATTTAGTGGCTTAAAACTATAAACATTTTGCCTGGTTGGTGGTTGCCTTTGATTCCAGCCCTTGGGAGGCAAAGGAAGGTGATCTTTGTGAGTTCAAAACCACTGCTCTCACAATACGTTCAAGGCCAGCTGGAACTACATAATGAGACCCTGTCTAAAAAACAAACGGCAACGAGAACACAATCTATCAACATCCCAGGTCCTCCTTCCTGGTCACTTCATTTCATTCCTTTTTGTTTCATGTTGGCAGCAAGGCCAGTTCAGAAAGAGTTGGCTTGTGTAATTGGCCTCCCTCACATATTTAGTGACCGGACTTGATGTCTCCAGAGACTTAATCTGTCCCTGCCAAGCAGGCTGATCTGCTGAGAGCGCCAGCCCTGACGCACAATCTCCTCCCACCTCACTTTGGGCACGGTTTTCCTAATTTTTCCTAGTTTTTTTCCTTGCAGCCCCTCATTAATTAAAAATGTGGAGTGTTTATTTTTTGCATTTAAACATTTTAAAAATTTTGTTTGTGATGTATGTGCATAGAAACCCGAGCAGGTCTTCTATCCTGGTCCTCTGAGCCAGGGTCTCTTTCTGGACCCTGAGCTCTTGATTTTCAAGAATATCAACCAGCAAGTCTGTAATCATCCTGACTCCACCCCTCGGTTCTGAGGTTACGGGCACTTACGGGACCGTGTCTGGCTTTTATTGCATCCTGTGATGTAGCTACAGCCCTCATACTTAAGATGCAGGCATTTTTAATATTTTTCGATGCACGTGAGCGTGCATCTTGGCAAAAATAGGAAGATAGGAAGGCTCCGCTGTTAGGAGATCTTCCTGCTGTTCCAGAAGACCCAGGTTCAGTGCTCAGTGCCTGCATGGTGATGATGTGTAGCTCCAGTCCCAGAGGATTTGACGCCCCCTTCTGGCCTCCGAGGTCATAACACACATGTGGTTCGTTTACAACACGCAGGCAAAACACTCATCTCACACAATCAAGTAAATCTTTAAAATAATAACAGAGAGTTGGCGGGGGTTGGAGGGGTGGAGGCGAAGCCCGGAAAGAAAATAATCTGGTGTCCCTAGTGTTCCTGGATTGTATCTGCCTTGTACCAGCCCTCTCAGATACGGACTCCCCCCATCATCAAGTCTGTGGATAGTTCTACTGTGCACCACACACAGACTCTGCTCTCCCAACATGCTAGGATGGCCTTCCTCGTGTCCCTCATCTCAAGCGCAAGCGCGCGCGCGCACACACACACACACACACACACACACACACTCAGCATTGCCTCTCACTCAGTGGACACAGCCAGGCTTGGGCTCCCAAGATGGCTTTTATTGCTGACGACTCAACTGACCGAGGTCAGAGCTCCAATCCAGAGCCAGCCCTGGGGACACCTGGAAAGCAACCTCCGCAGTCACGTGATAGGTGAGTGCTCTACCAATGCAAGTACACAGCAGGCCAGTAGGTGGCGACGAGTGAGCGGCTCTTATAAGCAGAGCACCTTAGTCTGGATGAGATGAACCGCTTTAGCCATTTCTGGACCAAGGAGTGCTGTAGTTCAGACCTCGGCCAACAACACCGGACGCCTTCTACTTACCAGAGGCACAAAGCTATGCCCGAAGTTCTAGGAGAGCAGGAAACAGCAGTCCACCTCCAGGGACAAGGCTTCAGCTACTGTTACCTGCTCAAGCATAGTAAGTTCCACAGCTCATGTGCGATGTGGGTTGGTTTTGGCTTCGTGATTCTCAGGTGACACAGCAGGAAAT